GAATACCAGAACTGGAAGGGACCTTGAGAGGTCATCGGGTCCAGTCCCCTGCCCTTACGGCAGCACCAAACACTGTCTAGACCATCCCTGACCGAGGTCTGTCTATTAGATCTATTCCTCCAACATATCGTACATACAGCGGCTTCCCCGATAGTATCAGTTGCCTTTGAAATGAGACATTCAATTTTTTTTCTGTTTCTTTGGGTTTTCGCTCCACAGATCTCTTGCCTCCGTTCATTTCCCATTGGAATTAATTGTTTACCCTGAATTCTCCTTTGGGCTGGTAATAAGACTGTTCCAATAGCTTTGTGGGTCCCCCCCCCCCTCTTGAAACATAGAATCCTAGAACACTAGGACTGGAAGGGACTTCAAGAGGTCATGGAGTCCAGTCCCCTGCCCTCATGGCAGGACCCAGCTCTGTCTAACTCATCCCAGACAGGTGTCTGTTCAACCTGCTCTTAAATATCTTCAGTGATGGAGATTCCACAACCTGCCTAGGCAATTTATTCTGGTGTTTAACCACCCTGACAGGTAGGAACTTTTTCCTAATGTCCAACCTCAATCTCCCTTGCTGCAGTTTAAGTCCATTGCTTCTTGTCTTACCCTCAGAGGCCAAGGAGAACCATTTTTCTCCCTCTTCCTTGTAACACCTTATTAGGTGGTTAAAACCCCCCTATTGCGTCCCCGCTCAGTCTTCTCTTTTCTAAACTAAACAAGCCCAATTCTTTCAGTCTTCCCTCATAGCTCATGTTCTCTAGACTTTTAATCATTCTTGTTGCTCTTCTCTGGACCCTCTCCAATTTCTCCACATATTTCTTGAAATGCGGTGCCCGGAACTGGATACAATACTCCAACTGAGGCCTAATCAGTGCAGAGTAGAGCGGAAGAATGACTCCTCGTGTCTTGCTCACAGCACTCCTGTTAATGCGCCCCAGAGTCATGTTTATTTGGGTTTTTTGTCGGTGGTGGGTTTTTTGCAAAAGTGTCACATGGTTGACTCAGATTTGGGGAAATGAATGTCTGGATTAGAGCTCAGACTGATGTCGAAGGTGTGTCCCATCGATTCCCAGCCATCTCGTGGGTGATGCGTGAGACCCACACATGATTCCCCACAGTGGAGTAGAGACTGAATCAGTGAGCAACTGTTTATCCGCACGTGTCCTTCCTCTGGCATTATTGTTGCTGCTGATCTATTTTGTCTAGATCTACTCTATGCCTGAGAGTGCCCATCAAATGAAGAAGTGGGTTTCACCCACCAAAACTCCTTATCCTATATATTTATTTTTGTTAGTCTCTAAGGGTACGTCTACACTAGCCCCCTAGTTCGAACTAGGGAGGCTAATGAGGATAAATCCCTTAGTTCGAATTAACAGTTAAACCTCATGAGGTTTAAACCTAATGAGGTTTAACTGTTAATTCGAACTAAGGGATTTATCCTCATTAGCCTCCCTAGTTCGAACTAGGGGGCTAGTGTAGACGTACCCTTAGAGACTAACAAAAATAAATATATAGGATAAGGAGTTTTGGTGGGTGAAACCCACTTCTTCATTTGATGGGCACTCTCAGGCATAGAGTAGATCTAGACAAAATAGATCAGCAGCAACAATAATGCCAGAGGAAGGACACGTGCGGATAAACAGTTGCAAACGTACCCTTAGGTGCCACAGGACCACGCGTTTTTTTTTATATATTTGAGAGAGTTTGTGAGGGAGCGACTCTGTTCATCCATCTGTTTGTTCAAGAACTCCTCCTGAATGGTACGAGGTAGGCCCACTGAATCAGAAGCTTCCTCTTCTCCAAACTTAAAGCACGGTCAGAGTTTGGTTGTATCGGGACAATGGGACACGCCTGGAATCCAACTGTTTTTCAGAACATGGAAAGGGAGGGGGTGCCCACAGGGGGGCAGCACGGGTGTCAGAAATGGGGACCGGGAGAGCTATAACCCCATTGGCACAGCGGGATGGAGGTAAGCTTCCTGCACACTGCTCTGTGAAGCAAGGTCCCTACCACAGGCAGAACCAGGGAGCTGTCCTCTGGCCAGTGCAGCTCCCTCTGCATCCAGCCCTGAGACGTCTGCCACCCAGGGAGTGCGGCCTTCACCACAGGGAGCCACCACTCAGGAAGTGCTGCCCTAACCAGCTCCTCCACCCCTGCCCCCGCACACCAAGACCCCAGCCCTGAGCCCTTCCTCACCAGCAAATCTTCTCTTCAGCCCCTCCACACATGGCAACCCCCTGCCCTGAGTTCCTCTGTACCCCCAATCCTGAGTTCTGCACCCCCCCATCCTCAGTCCCCTGCCTGGATCCCTCTTCAACACCCAAAACCTGATTCCAACACCTCACCCCAACCCTGACTCCTTTACCCCATACACCCCAGCCCTGCCTCCCCCACAAATCCTGCCTCCTGCTCCTACACACAACCCCAAGCCCTGACCCCCTCCACACCCCATCCCTCTCTTCTGTACCCCCCTCCCCCACACCCTCATTCCCCTGCCCTTAAGGACCCAAGCAATGCTGGGTAACTGTTCTAGTAATTAAATATGCACGGGGCAAGGACTCTGGGTGTCCCCATCTATGTGTCCTCCACACATACCATATTCTTCCTCTGGCCCAGTGACCAGTAAAGTGGAACAGCTTCCACAGGGGAGACAGTGAAAGCACCACCCCAACACCCCATAGCCTGGCGGTTGGGGAACTTGTGGAGGAAGGAAGCCGTGCTGGAGGTCTGATCATGAGTCTTCTCTATTTCAGTTGGGTGCTCTGTGTAGAAGTGCCTACCCCACTACCTCTGGCTCTCCAGCTTTGTGAATGGAGCCAGTATCTGTCCCACAATATTAGCATGTGTATAGTCAGAACTGGTCAAATGAACCATTTAGAAGTGTCCCCAGTTTATTTTATTTTCAATTAGAACAATCAGCCTAAAGTGTGAACTACTTTGGTTGACCCAAATCTGAACTTTTTCAGTTAAAAAAAAAAAGTTTGGATCATAAAATTCCACCCAGCTCTATTCAGGACTTAAAGACCTGGTATCTCATGGGTCGGTGTGTGTCCTGTATCATTCTCAATAACTGAGCCATAAATGATAAGGCTGAGAGTTTCAAAGGCCTCTCGGTTGAGCTATTTCAAATTTTTCAGATAAAACATTTTCTTATTGAAATAAAATTAGGGATGTCAAATTATTAAAAGATTCATCATGATGAATAATTAGATTAAAATATAATCACAATTAATCAGTGTTACAATCAGACTAATAATACAATGCCATTTGTTTAAATATTTTGGATGTTTTCTACATTTTCAAATATACTGATTTTAATTACAACACAGAGTACAAAGTGCTTAGTACGTTATTATTTTTATTACAAATTTTTGCACTGAAAAGGTAAACCAAATAAATTGCATTTTTCAATTAACCTTATACAAGTAAACAATGTAAAATGTAAAATATAAATGTAAAATATAAAACAATGTACAGGCAGTCCCCGGGTTATGTACAAGATAGGGACTGTAGGTTTGTTCTTAAGTTGAATCTGTATGTAAGTCGGAACTGGCGTCCAGATTCAGCCGCTGCTGAAACTGACCGCCAGTT